GTACCATTGTTCACTCATACCAGTAGTATATGAGAACGCACCCATAATCTCACTGGTTTGACATCAGAAAAATACAGTGTGATTTTCATTTCTTTTCTTTCATCATTATTGAGGCTAAATTTTGGTCTTTTGGCCATCACCGTTTCTTCGTGTGCTGCCAGTTCACAATATTAGGGGATCCACATTAGAATTTTCTTCCTCTATTTGGCACCTTACAAGCGCTGGTGGCATAGGGAATTATGCAAGGTCAGCAGTTTAAATTCACCAGCTGCTCCATGGGAGAAAGAGGATTTCTGCTTCTGTAAAGATTTATAGACTCGGAAACCCTATGAAAGGGTCTCTATAAGTCAGAATGTCATTATGAGTCAAATCCAACTAAACAGCACACAACAATATCAGGCACCTTAAAGTAGTTGGGCTGTCCTTTTTTTTTAAGAAGAAAAAAAAAGTTTTTATTGTGAACTGAGTGATGCATGTGAGAACATCAGCTTTACACCATTCGTGCATCATCATATTTGCTTCCATTCCCTCTGTCCACCAGCACCCAGCCCCTCTTACCATGAGTCCAGAGTCCTCATTGCTGGTGTTGCTGCTTCTCTGGATAGGGTCCCACATTCCGCTTGTGCTCTTCTCCCTTGATAGCCCTAGGGTCCTCTGCTTCTGGACTGTAAGATTAACTATTGCCCCGTTTTTGTTAGAAAACCTCTACCTTTACAGTTGTGACAGTTGCAATTAGTCATGATAACAATTACTCACGATTGAATCATAAGAATTTTATCCCCCATCTCTTCTCACCAGATCTGTCTAGACAAGATGAAAACTATTCAGTAGGGACTCTACCCTCCCCCGCACACTCTTAAACTCAACTCCCTCTTGAAAACTTGTAAGCCAGTCACTTTGTACCGCTATCGCCCCCTCATTTTAGGTGGCCAATTTCTAAGTTGCCTGTCCCGGTCCACCCTGTATTCAGAGGGGATAGCATTGATACTTGATGTAAAGACTCATTTACTCTCAGTTGGTACCTTGAGCTACTACATCTATAAGTATAGGTCAAGTTCATCAAATTGTAGCAATTTATGCTCATTTCCTTCATCAAAAATTGTTTTTTTTTTAATCTTCCTATGGTCGAGTTCTGATGTCCTTTTAACTTTGGTCATCCTCCTTGATTAATTACTACTAAACAAGGCCGTATCTATAAATGTCTGCGGTATCACCGGAGATTTTTGAGGAATTTTTGCCAAAATTATTCTTTTATCTATTGGAGAGTGAAAGAAAAGTTGTTAAGAGATCAAACCAGACTCAAATGCTTTACAGAAGTTGGTGTAAAGGTCTTACAGTCTGATGTGAGTCACATCTGAGAGTCGTTGAGGGTTACACGTCAAAGGTGTAAACAATCATGCTCTTCAGTGGGGGCCTCACATATGGCTCAGGAAAAGCAGCCTTCAATTCCATTAGGTCTGCCTGAACTTCTTGAAGGGAAATATGTGACGGCAAAACCAAGACTTGGCTGCATTCCCCCCAAGCACAGATAAGGATCAATGAAATGCCTAATCAATCTACTCTACTTCTCTAACATCGCTAAATGGAAGGAATAAAATTCTAAATCAAATCAGTTTAATTCAGTTCCAATTCAACTAGACATATCATCCTTTCACTGACCCCAACCACCAGATCTCACAAATTTAAAGGGCACACTGCTCCAGAATGCCACGCCTGCCCAAGGCCTCAGACTCTAGCCACATGCTTGGGGGTCCCCATAACACCCTCACTTCTGACTTCCAGGCTCCAAATGAGGAGGTTCCCTCTACCGCATCAGGATACTAGTCTGAGTAAGCACAGTGGTGGCTACAGCCCTCCTCACATATGACCTGCTGGCTTCCACTACTCTCTCTGGTTTGACCATCTGCCAGCATGATCCCAGGACTCACAGAAAGTCCTATACTTAAATAAATGACTTTCAGTAGAGCAAAAAGGATGGACATAGGGGGAGGGCTGGGGGCTTCCCAACGTAGTGCTTCCAGGTCCCTAAAAGGGTGCGCTACCCGTCATGTGCACTGATGTCTCTCACCAACTAGGAAGCCCATAGAGCTTCCATGACCAGTTCCTACACTGTGCCTGAGGTCTGCTGATATCACTAAGTGGGTCTGTCTGGCCTGGTCAGCCCCGATCCAAGATGCACTTCATTAGCGAGAAGTGTGGTCTGAAGGTCTCACCAAAGACATTTCAATCACTAGGGAAATTTCAAGGTTTTAGAAGTTGTCTCCTAAAAACTAAGGACAAACACCAAGTTCTTTAGATAAAGTTCAAGGAGAATCCCACATGCATAAATTATTCATAGGACAGGCCAAGAAAGTACTGATGTGCCCAAAGGACAATTCTTAAAAAAAACAACTCATTAGTCATATTTTGAAAAATGTTAAAATTTATTATTAATAGTTAATTCAACTAGTTACTTATTATACACAATGACAATATCTCTCACTAGACTGGATACTCACGTATTTGAGGATGATCTGCTATTCAACACTTCCTCATCAAAGGGTGAGATTCACCATATTTACACAAGACAAAGCAGCATCAGAAAAGGGCTATCACCTACTCCTAGACACACAAACATCGAAATTGCATTTTTCAATACATCTTTAATAGCCACACACACGCAGACCTTATCTTTTTTCAAAATGTATAATTTCATAGGTGCCTACTAATCAAGTTTAAAAGTTAAAATTCATCTTTATTCATGGTCATATTTTAGTGATATACACATCTAGAAGTGTCTTCTGGCTTCTCTGTAGTACGAGGCATCCGCACTTCAGATCAGCTGGTGCAGGGAAAAGACAGTAAAGGGGGCTGCACAGGAGAGTGGCAAAATGAGACAAGAACAACTGACAAGGGCCAGTTCCTCTTCCCTCTGGGCTTCCCGGGAAGATCTAGACAAGCCGAGGGCTGAACAGTCTTCAGTATAACTCAGCTTGTTCCAAAACTATACAACCAGATTCTTCTCTCAGTACCAGTCTGATACGTTTACAAAGATAGGGTGCTACTGAGTCAAGAGCTTCTTTCCACCTTTCTGTTTTGACCCTTGTACACTAACCAATGGACTCCTGGATGGTGCTGTAGGATCAGCACTGGACTGTGAACCACAAGGCCAGCAGTTCAAACCTACCAGGTGCTCCTTAAAAACCCTATAAAGGATCACTATGGGTTGGAACCAACTTGACGGCACTTAACAACCACAACCCTATTCAATAAGTGCTACAAGACCATTCTCTCTTCTTTATGTGGTATTTAGCTTCAATGTGAGGATGTATCTGTGGATTTTAGGACAGAGGTGGGCTTCCAGATTCAGAATTCACTGGGCTCTTGAGTATGACATGGTGGCTTTTATGATGATATTCCCATTCCTTCCAGCAGTTAGACATCAACAAACCAAACCAAATCCACTGCAAAGAGTCAATTCGGACTCCTAGGCACCCTCTAAGATGGAGCGGAACTGCTCCTTAGAGATTCTAAGACTAACTCTTCACAGGAGAGGACAGTTTGATGCTTCTCCTGTGAAACCACCAACCTTGCAGTTCACAGCCCAAGACTTAACCCACTGCATCATCAGAGCTCCTTAGAGACATCAATACTGCCCGGAAAAACATACACATGGAACATCAGACCAACAGCAGTGCAGCCTAGGGAAGCACACAGACATTTGCAAAATCAACCCAAAGTGAAATTTTCTAGAAGGGCATGAACATGTTAAAAATGTTGTCCCTGAGAGGTTTTTGGTGGCAGCTGTTGAATTGTTTTGTTATTGTGCAATTAGATACGATTGAAAATAAAATGTTGGTGTCTTCTTTGTCTTGTCAGAGAGTATGAAAATATTACTGATTGCCCTAAGAATAAAGATTTCTAAGAAATGAATGAGTCAATTTGAAATGATTGTTTCCTTTGGTTAATATCACATGCAAGATTGCCAGGAAAGGCTTGAGACAGAGCTACAAGGTGCTGTAATTGAGCAACGATGGCCTAGCCGCCATCACTGTGCCCGGCCTTCCACGTTCCAATCCACAAGGAAAGGAGGCACAGGAAGCAGCTGCTTTGCTCTTCACTTTGAAGGGAGTCCCCTTCTCTTCCCCACAGGCAAATGAGGTATTTCTAATGACCAGTATCCTTACCTTTTGCCCTTTAACCACACTGATTTACCAATGAATCTGACAAGATCCTGCACATCTATATATACAGCAAATCAACATATAAATACATTGCATACAACCATTACATACAGTATCTAAAAGAAGAAGGTGCAGATCTACTTCACAAGCTAAAATACATTTCAAACATAAATTAAAATGAAAATACAGTGTTTTCCACTTTCCCAGGACAATCTTCAAAAAAAACAAACAACAAAAACAGAAAGCCCTCTCACCACCAAAGATTCATTGCTCATTGATGATTCTGCAGTGAGAGGACCGGCCGGCCACCCACAGAGCATTGTCAACTCTTGGCTTTGGTTTCACTTGCCCCGTGATTCCAGAAACCCAATAGGCAAATGCTTGTAGATGAGGTTGAAGAAGGGATTCCATGTGGATAGTCATGACTCCCCTCCAGTGCCGCCCCCTCCCCACCACGTTCTGTTTATGAGAGAATCAGGCTCAAGTTGGTGGTCCAGCCTCTGGTAGAACATACAATATCAACATTCCCACAGTGTGTGGTGTTCTCCCCAGAAATGTCAGGTTCAGGCTCCAAAGTGAAGTTTTCATATCTTTGCATTAGTATCCCCATCCTATAGGATTACATAGGGACAAGGAATTTGGCCAGAAAATCAGAATTTTAAATAAGTTTTAAGACAGCCAATGAAAACAGTTGTGATGGCTGTGAACGATTCCTTGCTTCAAATTGTTCTTATCTCAGGACGGAGGAGTCTTGTGCACCACGTTCTACAGTTAAGTATCCACAGAGGCAAAACCCAGTCAGATGGTGTCCTCTCTGCTAAGAAAAAGCCAAGGGTGTCTGGCACAAGGGATGGCACCTTATAATTTAAAATTACAACAGGGAAGAGGGGGGAGGCAGAAGAAGCCCCTTCCAAATGCAGGGACTCTCTATTGATGTCCAGCCTCGTGCATGCGGCAGGCAACGGCAGTGATAAGAGCTGCCCCTTTCCCACTGCCGTCCTCGGATTCCAGGAAGGATACATCACACCTGGGAGCCAGGTCCTTCACCGTCTCATGCATGATTTGAGCAAAGCTGAAAAAGGTGAGGGGAAGACACAAGAAAAAGAATGCCTTAGTCACGGTCGATTTGTGTCCACTGAGATGAGCCCCTAAACTGTGATGCTGGAAAACGAGGGATCATTATGGTGAGGAGGAGAATGAAGGAGATCACATACTGAATGCTTCCTCTGTGGTCACGTACCAGAAAGCTGGGCCTCCGAAAGGCAAGTCACATGGCTAAGTTCTATGTCTCAGTTGCCAAGTCAGGGAGCTGGGATTCGACTCTGGAACAAAGGTCTGGGATTCTGACAAATCTGTTCTTCAACTAATGAGTTGTGGGAGCCACAAGTGTGTTTTGCAGAAGAGCTCAACCTGTTCCTAAACTCTGGAGGGGAGCCAAGGACATATGATTTCATATTTTCCAAGGGAATTGCCTCACATCAAGACTCACAGCGACTCCAACATGCCATTAGAAGACATAGGAGCAGACATGGAGGGGTTACAAGGATCACAGATAACCCCCTTTTGATATGGGATATGAGAAAGATATACAGTCAGCCCTACAAAAGCCAGAACCTGTGTAGGATGGAAACCTGCCAGAGAAGGAAAGTTCAAATATTTCCCACTAAAACAAGCAATAGAAAAGAGGTTAAGACTGCACCCTGTCAAATGTAGAAAGCTTTCAAGACCTGGAAAACTAAGGCAATCCAGCTGAGTTCTGGCTCTCACAGCTTCACTTTGTGGTAACACAGTAAGGTTAGGATGAAGCTGAGGACATTGGTTCGTCAGACTGTGCCCTGCCACAGGTGGCTGGGCTCTGTCCCCCTCTCAATCCTCATCTGGGACAATCAGTGTTCACAAGACACTGATAATCAAGGAAAGCGGCTCACAACGTCTGAAGTTCTGCTCCTTGTCAAAAACTGTGCAGGCTCTGGATAAGCCACCTAACTCCTTGAAGTAAATATCACGAGAGCAGGTAGCAATTCAATCAAGGAATCTCTAGCTTTTTAAACCTCCACCCACACTCAGGCCAGGAACACTAATTTGTTTGTTCTTTTAGCCTCTAGATGAAAAGCATTCCTGGTAGGGTGGTCTTGGGGCACTTCCTGACTTCAAAATAATTCATTCTAAATCACATGCAAATAGGGGATGAAGGAGAGAAATAGTAAGAGGAGAGAGGTGGAAAAAGAGAGGAAAAAGAGGGGAAAGAAAAGGGAGTACAGCACTTTGAAACCCGGGGAGTCAGCAAACTTTTTCTATAAAAGGTCACGTTGTAAATATTTTCAGTTTAGTGGGCCATATGGACTCAGTTGCAATTACCAGACAATTCTAATGGGAAAATAGTTCTAA